GATCTTTGCATTTCCATATAAATACTAGCAAAAATAGATATTTTTAGTTCTTCCTTTTCAGTCTATATTTTCCTTGTCTTATTGTGTTGGCTAAAGTTACTAGTTGAATAGAAATGGTGAAAGCAGACACTCTTGCATTATTTCCAAGGGAAAAGCATTCAGTCTTTCACTACTAAATATGATGTTAGCTATTATTTTTTGTTGTTGTTGATGGCCCTCATCAAGTTGAGAAAATTCCTTTCTATACATGGATACTCTTCCTTAACAATTTTCAGCATGAATAGACATTGTATTTTGTCAAATGCTCTTCTGTGAAAGGTACCTATGTAGTTTTGTCCTAATTTCTAGTTATGTGATGTAGTAGGTGAATCAAATAGCTGTTGATTTTAGGATGTTAAGCCAGTCTTGTACTCCTAGGATATATCTCACTTTGTCATTGTGCATAATTTTTGTGTGTGTGTCTTGGGTTCAATTTGCTAATATTTTGTTTAATATTTTACATCTATATTCATAAGGAATATTGTTCTGTAGTTTTTTATTCTTGGATATCTTTTTTTTACTTTAGTATCAGATTAATAATGCCCTGAGTGAATTAACTGAAAGTAATTCTGAAAGATTTTGTGTTTGACTGATGCTATTCTTTCTAAGCTTTGATAAAAATTACCAGAAAAATCATTTGGGCATGAATTTTTCTCTCTGTGTGTAGAAGTTTTAATGCTAATTCAATATTTTTTAAATATTTATTTTTTAGTTGTAGGTGGACACAATATCTTTATTTCATTTGTATGTGGTTCTGAGGTTGGAACTTCTAGGTGTTTACCACTATAATCCCAGCCCTCAATTTTTTGACTAGAATAAATTTAATATTGATTAGAATAAATTTTTTGACTAGAATAAATTTATTTTTGACTAGAATAAATTTAAGAAGAATGTTAAAATCTTAGTAGCACCATAAGATTTTAACTACTAAGATTTTAACATTCTTCTTAAATTTATTCTAGTAATTTATGTCATTCTAGAAATGTAGTCTTTTCATCTAAATCATCTGATTCATTTGCACAAAATTGCCCATAATATTCTCTTATGAGTCTGTTAATTTCTATAGGTTCTCATTTTGGTATTTTGTACCTTTTATGTTTCTTTTCCTGGTCAGTTTAATTAAAGGCTTATCCATTTTGTAGATCTTTTTGAAAAGTCAACTTTTGGTTTTATTGATTCCCTCTATGCTTTGTCTCTTTTTATTAATTTCCACTTTGACTTTTATCATTTCCTACTTTGTTCTTATTTTGTGTTTGAATTGGTCTGTTTTTCCCTGACTTTTTGAGATAGAAGATTATATTATTGGTTTTGGATTGTCTTCATCTTCAAAATAAGTGTTCAAAGCTATAAACTACCCTCTGCAAAATTTAGCTACAACCAAAATTTTGACATAGTGTATTTTCCATTTGGTTCACTTGAAGATGTTTTTTTAATTTCCCTTGTGATTTCTTCTTTGATCAAGAGAGATTAGAAGTATGTTGTTTATTTTTATAATATTAGAAAGATATCTCAAATTATTTCTCTGTTGTTGATTTCTAATTTAATTTTGCTTTGGCTAATAAACATAATTGGATGACATAAAATCTTTTAAATTGATTTTTACTTATTTTATAGCCTATCATACGATCTATGGAGAATATTCTATGTGTACTTATAAATAATATATTGTCTTATTTTGTTGGTTGGAGTGCTCTATTAATATCAGTTGGTCTATTTGGTTAACAATGTTATCCAAGGTTTCTATATTTTTGCTGGTTTTCTATCTAGTTATTCCATCAATTACTGAAAGGGTGGTATTGATTGAAGTCTCTAATTATAATTACTAAATTATCTATTTTTCTTTTCAATTCTAAGAGTTTTTGCCAGTATTGGGGAATTTATTTTGAGTTGTGTTGCAATTCTACCTTTATCAGCAGTGTTCTTTTTGTCTCTATTGATATTTCTTATCTTGAATTGTATTGTGGCTCATGTTAATATCATCACTATAACCCTGTTATGATTACGCTTTGCATAGTTTTATGGAAGTTCCTTTACTTTCAACGTCGTTGTGTTTTTGAATCTGAAACCCCAAGCTATCCATAACATCATGAACTGAAGGCCCATAATAACATCTTAAATGAAGAAAGCAGCAAAGCATGTGCCGTACTTAAGGTCATGTACCAGTTGACAGCAGAGTTGAGAATAAAACCTGGACTCTAGAAACCCAGGCTTTCCTGGTAGTGCTGGGACCAGAGCCAACTTGGATCAAAATTATTATGGGGATATAGCTCAGTTGGTAGAGTGCTTGCCTCACAAGGCCCTGGGTTCAATCCCCAGCATCAAAAAAAAAAAAATGATGCCAGCAAGGTTTCAATTCTCCTAAGGACTTTATTTTGTGATCTTTCTCATCATGGATCTAATCAGCCAGTAAGGTTTTTGGAACCTCTCTCTGCTTCCTCCCTAGCTCTCCTTTCCCTTCCCAAGTGTGGCAGGTTCTTCTGTTAAAACCTCTTTCCATGGAATAATTTTGGGACTATTGGTATTAATTCTTCTTTGTTGGTCTCTATACCCAAAGGACTTAAAAAGAGCATACTACAGTGATGCAGCCGCATCAATGTTTATAGCAGCTCAATTTACAATAACTAAACTGTGGAAATGACCTAGATTTCTTTCAATAGATGAATGGATAAACAAACTGTGGTACATATACACAATGGGATATTAATCACCATTAAAAGAGAATCAAATTATGGCATTTATAGGTAAATGGATGGAGTTGGAGAATATCATGCTAAGCGAAGTAAGACAATTTCAAAAAACTAAAGACCGAATGTTCTCTCTGATAAGTGGATGCTGATCCATATTGGGGAGGTGGGCATGGGAAAAATGGAGGAACTTTGATTGAGCAAAGGAGAGGGAGAGGTGGGGGAAGGTACGTAGGAGCAGGAAAGATGGTGGAATGAGATGGACAACATTACCCTGGGTACATGAATGACTACACATATGGTGTGATGCTACATCATGTACAACCAGAGAAATGAAAAGTTGTGCTGCAATTTCGTACAATGAATCAAAATGCATTCTACTGTCATATATAATTAATTAATTTAAAAAAATTAAATCCCTCTTCCCAAAATGTTCCACACATATATACCCCAAACTATTGTGTAGATGCTCCTGAAACTGAATTTTGTTTATGAAGAATAACCAAGGACTTAGTTTAAAGAATGAAAGTGAATGGTCAAATATTGGGCCTCAAGAAGACAATTGGGGCTATTTCTTTTACCTAATGAATTTTCCCATCCCTAGGATATAAATCCACATAGAAAGTACCCACTTCACTTATGCCTAACATCATTAGAGTCCTTTGTCCATTGAACTTTATATCTCTCAAGGCTTGTCCCATAGATGTGAGGTAGGTGGGACTCTTAAAGACAGGGCAATCTGAAGGACTCAACATTAATGTTCAAAGGCAAAATCTGTAGCTCTTATCATGGTTTGCAGAAGGAATCACATGTAGGATTAAGGTCATATTTCTAAAGATTAAAGAAATGTGAAACGTAAATAACCCTGTGACTATATAAACATTGTTTTGTATTTTTAGGCTGCTATAACAAAATACCATAAGCGGGGTGACTTATAAGGAACAGAAACTTATTTCTAAAAGTGCTGGAGACTGGAAGTTCAAGATCAGGGTGCCAGCATGGCCAGGTTCTGGTAAGGGCTCTCTTCTGGGTAGCAGACTTCTTACTGGATCCTCACATGGTGGAAGGGCAAAGGAGCTAGGTCTCTTCTATAAGGGCACTAATCCCATTTATAAGGGTTCTGCACTCATGCCCTAATTATGTCCTAAGGGTCCTAATCTTTTAATAATAGCACATTGGCCATTAAGTTTCAGCACATGAATTTGGGTGGGGAGATATATTCAGACCATAGCACAGCCCAAGATTCTTATGTTGAAATCTTAACCCTCAAGGTTCAAGTGGGGACCCAGAGTCTATTCCTTTTTGCCCTTCCACATACTTGTAAGGACACTTAGTGCCATCTATGAGAAAGTGGGCTTTTAGCAGATAATGAATCCCTGATACCTTGATCTGGTACTTCCTGGCCTCTGGAGCTGTGAGAAAAAAAAAATCTGCTGTTTATAATTACACAGTTTTGGGTTGAGGGTGTAGCTAAGTGGTAGAGTGCTTTCTTAGCATGTATAAGTCCCCTGGGTTCAATCCCCTTCACCACAATTAATGTAAATAAAATAAATTGCCCAATCTCAAATATTCTGTTACAGCATCACAAATGAATTAAGATAGGTGGCCCAACATTGGGCCATAGTATTCGTCAGGTCTTGGAATTAAGTAATATCTTTCCATTATGGTGGCTGCAACAGGATCAGGGGTTCACTGAGGTGGCATGGCTGGGCTCCTCTGTCTTCTCCTTTGTAAGTGGCTTTTTATCTGCACAGACGATAGAGTTGTTCACATGTGCTATTCCAAAAGGAGCAGAAAATTATGAAAACAACAATTAGGTTAGGGGAATTCTGACTTGGCCCCATGTAGCTCTTGGGAAAGATGAATGGACACTTCCAACCCTTGTCCCTGACTGGCAGAGCCCAAAAAACATATTCTCTTGACCTTCTCGGTGGGCCATTTTGCCACCCATAGGTGGGCTATCATTCTTGCCTTTTAATTCAATTTTTATTTTTTTATTTCCCTAACTAGAACTATAAATGACCAGAAACTACATAAAGTGGGAGAAAATGTTTGGAATCTTAGGAAGATCAGTGACATCAGCTGTTTTCCTGGCTTGTGGTAAGGTCATGAAGTTCAATCTGGAATGGCTGATAATGAAGCTCACACGGCCGTGTATACCTCAGTTGATTAGGTGTGTGTCCTGCCATAAGTACTCTGCATTTTATTTCAGGTTTCATCAGATTTCAGGGAAAGTTACATTTAAAAAAAAAAAAAAACCTGGATTTTTGTCCTTATAACTCTTTGACACAAGATGTTTTAGGAACAAATTAGGTAACAGTAGGTGAGGAAACCCGATTATATCTTTCTGCCAAGATTCCATTGTTTTAGGTCAAAGCAAGAAGAAGCACAGCCTAGGATACTAGTATGAATCCAAACCAGACCAACTTTTCTTTTTTTCCAGTGCTTGGGTTGGAACCTGAGGCCTGGAGCTTGCCAGGCATGTGTTCTACCTCAGAACCATGCTCCCAGCCCACAGGAAGGTTTTGAGTCCTATCTAGATCGTTTATTGGCTCTACGACCTGAGTAAGTCATTTAACCTTTCGTCCACCCACTTCCCCACTTTATACAGAAGGGCTACTGCAAGAAATAATGCATGATAATGTAGAGCATTTTGTATCTGACACATAGTCAGTCTTATGTGTTGGCTTGTTAAAACCTGAATTTGAAGAATCTCCCCCCACCCCAACACCTTTTTTTCAAATCTATGAACACTGGTCAGTTGGATGGAGAAAATCTATAGGCCTAGAAAATAGTGAATTTCTGAGTTGTAAGACTTTGTTTTAGTCAGCTTTTTTACTGCTGTGACTACAAGATCCAAAAAGAACGATGTTGGAGGAGGAAAAGTTTATTTGAGAGCTCACAGTTTCAGAGTTCTCAGTCCATAGACAGCTGGCTCCATTCCTCAGGGCTTGAGGTGAGGCAGAACATCATGGCCGAAGAGTGTGGTGGAGTGAAGCAGCTCGCATGGGTGGGACCCGGGTTCGATCCTCAACACCACATAAAAATAAAGGCATTGTATTGTGAGATATTCCACTCACCAGATACAAAATATATACCCCAAAGATATGCCCCCATGCCCTCTTCCTCCAGCCATAACCTAAACCGCCTTCAGTTACCACTAAGTTAATATCCATCAGGAGGTTAATTCACTGGTTGGGTTAAGGTTCTTATAACCAATCATTTCACCTCTGAATGTTCTTGCATTGTCTCACACAGGAGCTTTTTTGGGGTACCTCATATCCAAACCATAACAGACTCAGAAGAGAGTGTCAGAGCTGAAACCAACAGTAAGTTCTTAACTGAAAGGCAGAGTTTTCTGCAAAATGCAAATGAGTTCATATAGTAATTTGACTTTTAAAAAATCTTAGAGATGAAAACATGATATACCCCCCCACACACACAGGCAAACAGATACATGCTCACACAAATGCACTGACCTGCACACCATCTTGCCCATATTTTATGGCATGATTAATAATAATTAGATGTCTAAATACTGAGTCAGTTGCAATTTTCGTTTATGATATCATCCAGTGTTTAAGTATTTCTCCTCCTGCCTCTGACCATTAATGACATCTCCTATAGTTGTTAATGTGTATGATTCACCACTAGAATGTAGTTCTTTAAGAGACTATAGCTTTGGGCTGGGGTTGTGGCTCAGCGGTTGAGCACTTGCCTCGAACGTGTGGGGTTCAATCCTCAGCACCACGTAAGAATAAATAAGGGGCTGGGGATGTGGCTCAAGCAGTAACACACTCTCCAGGCATGCGTGGGGTGCTGGGTTCGATCCTCGGCACCACATAAAATAAAATAAAATGTGTCCACTGAAAACTGAAAAATAAACATTAAAAGATTCTCTCTCTCTCTCTAAGAAAATACTTTAAAAAAGAATAAATAAATAAAATAAAGGTATTGTGTCCAATTACAACTAAAAAATATTTTAAAAAGAAAAAATATATAAAAGAGACTACAGCTTTTCATCAGTGCTCAGAATATATTGTAGGTGCTCAATAAATATTTTTAAAGTAACATGTATATGAGTGAATATATGAATTCTTTCCTCTTGGAAAAAGTCATGATGTCTGGAAGTGCTGCAGCCATTCTGCATCCATAAGGCAAAAAGCCAATCCAATAAAAATGGTGTAGTAAAAAGATGGGAGCCTAGGAGCCTCCTCACCAGTGCAGAATGGCTAGTGTGAGAAATGTAGATCCATATTCATACAAGTTGGGTTGTAGGAAACTTGATGTCAAAAGCCTTCTTAATGGTTACTCTTTGTTCTATATATCCATGCTGTATATGTCCTCTGGTAGACTGTGACTGACTGCAAAGATCAGAATTCAACTGGATTTTTTTTCTGTTTTAAGGATTATATGCATTTCCTCTCCTTGAATTTACTGATATTAAAATATATTTGCTTCCCAACAATAAATGTTGGCAAGGATGTGGGCAAAAAATACACTCATGCATTGCTGGTGGGACTGCAAATTGGTACAACCATTATGGAAAGCAGTATGGAGATTCCTCAGAAAACTAGAAATGGAACCACTATTTGACCCAGCTATCATTCCTTGGTTTATACCCCCAAAACTTAAAATCAACATACTGTAGCAATGCAGCCACATCAATGTTTATAGCGGCTTAACTCAGAATAGCTAAACTATAGAACCAACCTAGATGCCCTTCAACAGATGAATGGATAAAGAAATGGTACATGTACACAATGGAATATTACTTATCCTTCAAGAAGAATGAAATTATGGCATTTGCTGGTAAATGGATGGAGCTGGAGAATATCATGCTAAGCGAAAATAAGCCAATCTCCAAAAACCAGAGGCCAAATGTTTTCTCTGATATGTGGATGCTAATTCATAATAAGGCTGGGGGCTAGGGAAGAATAGATTAATTTGGATTAGGCAGAGAGGAGTGAAGAGAAGGCATGGGTATGAGGGGAGGAAGGACAGTAGAAAGGATCAGATATTATTCCTCTATTACATAAATGATTACACAACTGGTTTGATTCTACATCGTGTACAATCAGAAGAGAAGTCATACTCCATTTATGTATGAATCGTCAAAGTGTATTCTACTGTCATGTACAACTAATCAGAACAATTTTTAAAAAATATATCTGCTTCCATTTTTTGTTACTTTTTATTTTGAAAAAATTTCCAACTACACAAAAGTTGTGATAATAGTACAATAAATTCCTATATACCTTTCTTCTAGATTTGCCAATTGTTAATATTTTACTACATTTCTCCTCTTTTACATATATTGGGGGGGATTCTGAAACTTTTAAGACTATATTGTATTAGATATTGTGAACTTTAACCCCAAAATATTTTCATGCATATTCCTTAAAGATAAGAATAGTCTTTTACACAGCTAAGAAATTTCACATTGATAAAGGACTATTACCTAGAACACAAGTCGTACGCACATCTTATGACTTGCCCCAAAGCTGTCTATAGCTGTGCTTCTGTCTTGACAGGATCCCAATCCAGGTTGACATGCCACATTCAATTGTCATCTCTTTTTAGTGTCCTTTAATGTGAAATGGTTCCTTAGTGGGCTGGGGGTACAGCTCAGAGGTGGAAGGCTGACCTAACACGCTTGAGGCACTGGGTTGCCCTCCCGGCAGGCATTACAAACAAACAGTGCACAGAATCAAACTGATCAGACTTTCTTTTTCCTTTGTGAGATTAATATTTAAAAAAGAAAGAGAGAGAGAGAGAGAGAGAGGGAGGAAGGGGAAGGAAGTGAAACAGGCTTGTATTTTAGGAGAATTTATCACCATGCGCGTTTCTGTAGTTGCTCACGATCAGATTAAAGTCACACAGTTTGGGCAGGAATGAGATATTGCTGAGCCCATCATGTTGGATGGGAGGGAAGTCGCCATTCCTGGTGGAGTAAACCTTATCATTTGTTAAGAGATAAGCTCTGGCTCTTCTTATGAGTCTAATATCTAAGCTCTCAGAGGCCAAGAGAATCATCTTTCTTCCAGAATCCGTGGGCCACATGGTGTCATTCCCATGGTTTCCCGGAGAGACTTTGGTAAGAGATGAATTCAGGACATATTTTGACAGCTGCACTTGGAATAAGTGGAGATGACTCCTTCAGATTTGATAAAGCCGGTTGCTACGCCCAGATTTCCTGGCAGCCAGTAGGAAAGGGGTTAATGAGGACACAGTCCATCTGGCTTTCCTGAAGGACTGCTGAGCTTCTCCCAAATATCATTCTTATACACCTGAAGAAGTTACAGGATCCCGTTCCCATGGGATTCTGAGCCAATGGAGCCCTGGCCTGTGATTTATGTAAAAAAGTAGCTGTCCCTTCATTTCCCACAATGGCTTCATTCTTACCTTATGAACCTGCTTGGTCAGTGTCCCTTTGATTTATGAAAGATTTCAAACTCCCCCAATAACTATCCCTTTTCTTTTCATTAAAGTTAATCCCCACAAAGACACTTTCATCCGCTGATTAGTCATGCCCCAGTGAGCCCTGCTAACCAGAGGCTAAGTTATTGATGTGTTAAAGATGTAATCTCTCAGTCTGGGGACCCCTGAAGAAACCCCAACGTGTTATTTGACAGTCAGCACCTCACAAGGCATGGCCTCCTTTGAGCAACCTCAGTCGCAGGTCTTCCTCGGTGCCCATAAATCTCTGGCCCGGTGGCCTGTGAGGGCTGAGCTATTGTGGAGTCGAGATTGGGCTGCCAGCACACACTGCCCTACACCCCAGGACATCGAAGTTCCTTCTCTGGACTCTAGTTTCCATTCCCAATAAGCAGTGTCCAGTCACAAATCTATTACACCATCAGCAGCAGTTCATTGTTTTCTCTCCTGCCTGTGGCCTTCCTCATAAATTCTCACAACCCACAAGTCAACAGGACTCTAATTTGGGTGTGCCATGGGCCACTAACGGCACTAACCTTTCCTCCTCCCCGTTGATTTGGAGCTGTGTGTAAGCTTGTCTCAGCCATGATGAGTCTAGTGGATGGTGACTGCACAGAGGAGAAGCTTCCATGGAAATGTGTAGCCGTCTTTCAGCAACCAGTTTTAAATCTGTAGATTAAAATATATATATGACATCTTAAACCTTTTAGATCTTTCCTCTTCTAAGTTGATTTTCTCAGGTATTTGGTCACAGTGAAGGAAAACTGACAAACATGCAGTGTGCTGAATTTTCTCTTACTGTGAGCTGTGAGGTTCAGTTTGCTTTATGTCAGGCTCATGTTTCTCAACTGGAAGGACCATTCATGGAGCAGTGTTTCTTGCATTGTAAGATTTTAGGATTTAATTGGGTACAATGGTGCACTCCTATAATCCCAGTGGCTTGAGAGGCTGAGACAGGAGGATCACGAGTTCAAAGCCAGCCTCAGCAACTTAGCAAGACCCTGTCTTAAAAATAAAATATACAAAGGGCTGGGGATGTAGCTTAGGGGTTAAGTGCCCCTGGGTTCAATCCCAGTACCAAAAAAAAAAAATTTTTTTTGAGGGTATAGCATTTTCTATGCTCATATAAGAGGCAAGAAAGCCCCCCCCCACAGTCATTGTGACAATCTCAAATGCCTACAAATATTTGTTTTTCCTACAACAATTTTTAATTGTCCCTGGGAAAGCAACATCCTACTCCCATACACCTTAAATAAAAAGAAGATAACTAGAGCAGGAGTGGAGATTTGGGCTATCTAATATATATCTAGAAAATCTGTCCCACAAAAACATAACCTTGACCTTGGTTTGGCTCAAGTTTCTTTTTTTTTTTTTTTTTCTTTCAAGTAACGCTTATTTACCAGCACACAGTTTTGTGGGTCGGAAGGCCAGGCCTTCCACAGTGGGTACCGCAAGGCTGAAATCAAGATGTTGGTTGGGTTTATCTGAGGTTTAGGAAAAGAACTGCTTCTAGGCACAGTCAAAATCAGCTCCCTGTGTAGGACTAAAGTTATGGTTTTCTTTCTGGCTATCAGCTGGGACTTCTATCAGCTCCTAGAGGCCACTCACACTGGTTTCCATGTGGTCCTCTGTCTTCACATCTGCAGACTTATGGTCTGGATATGAAGACTCATGTGTTGAAGGCTTGGTCCCCAGTGCAGCAATATTCAGAGGTGTGACTCGGGAAGTGATTGGAGCATGAGGGCTCTGATCTCATCAGTGGATTAATCCATTGTTGGGTTCCTAGTTGAGTAGACCATTGGGAGGTGGTGAAAACTGTAAGAGGTGAGGCCTCATGGGAGCATGTAGGTCACTGGGGGCATGTCCTGTAAGTTATTTCTCATCCCCAGCC